ATGTTTAATCAGCCGTCTGAACACGGTCATTTGCATCCGCAGGATGAAGTCAACCAGATCGTTAACAGCAACGTGCGACTCAAACAGGTTTGAGAACTTCATTTCTTCGTGCGCGTTCGAGATGGCGAAAATACATCTCGAAGCATTGCCATGAATTTTAATTCCATCATTGCACCATCTATATATCGATAAATAGAGAGAAAGAGAGAGTGCTGCTTGCTCAACTTTCCATTGTCTGCTTTTCATTTCCAGCAATGGAAAGATGTCAACTTGCAGTGGAACCCAGAGGATTATGGCGGCATCACAAAGATCAGAATTCCCTCCACTGACATTTGGCGGCCCGATCTGGTGCTCTACAACAAGTATGTCTGAGGGGCTTTGATTTCGTTCATGTCCGCTATTCGTGATCTATGCAGTGAGCTGAGTGATCTCCTGGAAACAAGCGAAACAGCTGTCAGTCGCGTTTTCACTCTTTCCAATATGCTTGTGGAAGCTCGGCTAAGGTTTCATCGGGCTAAATATAGCCTCTGTAGTAGAGCGTTCACACACACAAGCACATTCTCCATATGTTACGTCTGACACGTAGCACCGTTTTCACGACTCCCGACAACCTGCCGGGCTGCCAAAACAACGAGCTGAGCTCGGCCTCGGGCGCTGGTGTCGCCTCGCGTTATCTTGAAAAAAAAAAAAAAAAAAACGATGTTGACACCAACTGGGGTTTTTGTTGTGCCCGCAGCGCCGACGGTGACTTTGCCATCGTGCATGAGACCAAAGTGCTGCTCGAGCACACGGGACTGATCACGTGGAACCCTCCTGCCATCTTCAAGAGCTACTGTGAGATCATTGTGCTGCACTTCCCCTTCGACCTGCAGAATTGCAGCATGAAACTGGGCACCTGGACCTACGACGGGAACTTGGTCGTCGTCAATCCTGTAATGACACACATTCCAAATGATGACTTTGTTTCCAAAGCACTCTTAAAAACGCGGGGTGAAGTAACCCAAATTGGGTGAAATAACTAACCCAGCATAGGGTCCAAAAGGGACTGAGCCAATGTTGGGTTATTCATACCCAGCACAATCGTTTCAGGATTTGACTTAGCACGTTGGATAAAGATTTTGATCCAAGTGGTAGTTATTATTTTTTGGACACATGTGCCGATGTGTTAACGCTACCAAAAAACTGTAAAATATCAGTCTAATTGTGGTTAAAAATAACACAAATTGTATCACCAACATTTTTGAAGACGAAGCAGTTTTCCGTTCCGTTTTTTGGGGGGGGTGGGTGATGATGTTCCATTGTCTCCGCAGGATAGCGATCGTCCCGACTTGAGTAACTTCATGGAAAGCGGCGAGTGGGTGATGAAAGACTTCCGCAGCTGGAAACACTGGGTGTACTACTCATGCTGCCCCGAAACCCCCTACCTGGACATCACCTACCACTTCCTCATGCTGCGGCTCCCCCTCTACTTCATCGTCAACGTCATCATCCCGTGCATGCTCTTCTCTTTCCTGACCGGACTTGTCTTCTATCTGCCGACAGACTCCGGTAAGCCACTTTGTGCGTTCTACCGTTAATGCTTTTCCCGGAAAAGCTCTTTAGATTTTGAATAGGAATCCAACACAAGCAATTTGGATTTGATTAATTGTCTGACCCAATTGCTCTAAATTCGACACCGCAAGGTTTTAAAGCAAAAGTCATAAAAAATGTGCGCAACATTTCCAAGACACGCTTTGATGCCTCGTTGGTAAAATCAGCATCCTCAACTCCCGAGTGCGACTGCGTGTGCCAGCCTGAGGTTTCTCTGACTACTCCACAAACAGCCTCTGCTGCTCCTGCGTACATCTGGCCCTGCTCCCACTGTGTACGTCTGCTCCATTACCCGGCGTCCCTCTGTGCTGCCATGTCTGAAAGCAAGCCTTCGCTTTAATGTATAATACATCACTTGCGCCCCGTTTGGAACGTCGCCGCTGCCAAAATCCACAACCGCCATGGCGAAACCGCATTTTACCAGTCACAAATATGTTTCAATCTAGTTTATTTCTCGGGGTCAGAATTGATCCAAGGAGCAGCCACATTTTTAGCATGTTCAATTTAAAGTTTAAAGTAGGCTTAAAACATTGCGGTCATGAACAAAGCCTCATATTCAAATATTTCCAATGGCTTATTATAAACTTGAGTTGCTCTGTCGTGTCATCAAGGTGAGAAGATGACCCTGAGCATTTCCGTCCTGCTCTCGCTGACCGTCTTCCTGCTGGTCATCGTGGAGCTGATCCCGTCCACGTCCAGCGCGGTCCCGCTCATTGGGAAGTACATGCTCTTCACCATGGTCTTCGTCATCGCCTCCATCATCATCACCGTCATCATCATCAACACTCACCACCGCTCCCCGAGCACACACACCATGCCAGAATGGGTGCGAAAGGTCAGCCGGATGACGAGATGATGACGCACACTTTGAGTGTTTCTAGCTACAGATTGGTACATCCTGTCCTTTTGCGTTACTGCCATCTAGTGGACAGACAAGATAAGACGGATAGCTGGATCAATAGCAACTTTGATGGAATTTTAAATTGGGCAATTCAACAAAATATTTTAAGTTTTGCTGTTGTGAAAATTGGCTTCCCTGCATTCCACAACAAAGAAATCAGAGTCGCTATAACTAACGATGCGTTGTATTATACTCCAACATAAAGATCTCAGTAAAGAAAACGGAGCAAATTGTTTTGGAGCAAACAACTTACTTGCATTGTTGTCATGAATGTCAGTCATTTCTATTTTAAAGTTGTTCTAATTGTTCTAGCCCCTAAAAAATACAAGTTGCTTTTTTTTTTTATAATATGGTTAGTAAAGTAATTGTTAAATAATTGTTGATAATTAAGCAGAGCTCGTAAAAATCATGATTCTTGAGAAAAATGTATCTGTTTTCTTGGGGGGGAGCAGCTTTTCATCGAAACCATCCCGAACATTATGTTCTTCTCAACGATGAAGCGCCCCGGAAAGGAAAAGCCAGTGAAGAACATCTATGGGGCAGACTTTGACATCTCCGACATCTCAGGCAACCAGGCCTCTGCCGTGCCCTACCAATCACCCCTCACCAAAAACCCAGACGTCCGCAGTGCCATCGAAGGAATCAAGTACATCGCGGAGACGATGAAATCGGACGAAGAATCCAACAATGTAATGCAAGCAGTGGTTTTAGTGACATCATTCATCGCTGCGGACTGTATTGTGTGGATGACAAGTGTCCTATTGTTGACTTTGTCCAGGCTGCTGAGGAGTGGAAGTTTGTGGCCATGGTGTTGGATCACATCCTGCTCTGCGTTTTCATGGCTGTGTGTCTCATCGGCACGTTAGGCGTGTTTGCCGGACGGCTCATTGAGCTCAGCATGCTCTAGATCAGCGGGATTCAAACTTTTTACAAACAAGTGCTGTACCTCCAAAAATATATATACTTAGTTTTCTAAGTACCACCATCATGACCAACATTAAAATACAATAGAGTGGTAAGTGTTCATCAAAAACGGGGCAGGTTTTACAACTCAAAAGAAAACGCACTTAAATATTGATTCAATGAAAATGTATTGTACATTAAATAAAAAGTATATTCATATCTAAATAAATGCTTAAAAACAGCAAGTTATTAAAGATTACATTCAAATGCGTTAAGATGAAATGATGAATACAATTTAAGTCACATATGTCAAAGTGCCGGCCCGCGGGCCAAATCCGGCCCGCGAGAATGTTTTCAGTGGCCCCTGGGATGATATTGATTTATTATTAGAACCGGCCCGCGGACCGCAGCAAGCCGAGAGCCCGCAGATCTTTTACACGCATCAATACTACATTTCCCACAATGCAACGGTGACGCGCCAAGCAGTCGGCCGCTTTATTTAAATATTTATTAGTCTAGCAGTCGTTCCCATAACAGTGACATTAGCTTTCAGATACCCATCAAAAATGGCAAAACGGAAGGTGGACACTGAGAACCGGGGGTTTCAAACAAGGTGGGAGTCGAAGTACATGTTCATGGACGTAGCTTGAAAACCTGTGTGTCTTCTGTGCGGAGAAAGTGTGGCGCGATTGAAATAGTGTAATCTGAGACGACATCATGAAACGAAACACGCGAACAAAAACAACATGGACATGGAGGGGGAAGGGGGATTTCATTAAAAACGGTATACCGGTACTTAAAGTTTGTGACGAAGTTTACCCCGAAAAAAAGCAACTCTTTTTAAACGTGAGGATTAGCAGAAACACAATTGCAGTGTTTCTGCAAAGATACGGCAGTGCGTGCTGCGCAGTTTGACGGTTTCCTCCCCGACACAGTGGTCCCGCTGCGCATCCAGGCTGCTCAAACGTTGTCGAAAGTTTGGCAGCACATACGTGTGTGAACAACTATTTTCTTTGATGAAGCTGAACAAAACATCACACAGAAGTCGATTTACTGCTGAACACCCTCACTCAATTTTGAGGATTTGCTCAGCTCAGAGCATTTTTGCACTTTATTTTATTGTATTTCAATCCAATTATGTTTTAAAAATATTTTATTCGAGTAAATGATCGAAAATTACTGCACTATTATTTGTTTTTCTTTTAAGTAAATTTAGCCTACTTTTGCTGAAAGAGAAAATATGGACTAGTGATAGTGCCTTGAATAATACCGGCTTCTTTCATTCATGTTATGGGTATTTTTATACAAAGGAAATTTTTTTGTGCCTGTTGAAAATTAAAGTTTACTGACATAACAAAGGAAAATTTTTTGTGCCTGTTGAAAATTAAAGTTTACTGACATAGCCATAAAAAATGTTGCTTTATTTATCTGACCATATTGGAATGTATTTGTTAGGTTTTCAGTCAATTAAATTTGGTTCAATAAACAATATGTGGTCATTTTTAAAATTTTCAATGAACGAACATTCGATCAGTCCGGCCCTCGGCTTGCAGCAACATTTTTTATCTGGCCCTCCGTCCATTTGACTTTGACACCCCTGATTTAAGTGGACATGGGCAGTGATTCTCCTGAATACCACTAGAGGGAGTTCACGTATCACACTTGACAATAACAGCTCGAAGATGCTGAAAGTCTCATTGTTGCTCAATGTGAAGCGAACCTCGTGACATTTTTGTGACACTTTCTCGCATTTGGTGCTTCAAAATGACTTTATTTATGTTTTACAATATCATTGTGGACATCTTTATCATATGATATGATTGAGTAGTTTGCCCCTTTTTGGTGCTTGTATGAAAGTGATGTGATAGAATACAAGTTAACATACCTCCTTAAAAATCCAATGGGGATTATATCGTAACGTTTTTTGCATGTTTTACGATGTGCTGTGGATATTATGAGTTATGTTGAAGTGTGTCAAATGCCATTGTACTTTGTGAATTATGGTTACAAGGAACCTATGAACAACAACCCCTGCGTAACTTTTCATATGTTAAATAAAAACAGAAAGGTGGGACTCAAATTAGCAAAATATGTCCTCAAATAGCTCTGTCTTGTCTTGTATTTGAGTGGCGTTTGTAAGTGTACCTCATGTTGTGGCCGAAGACTGTTTACGCATTGATGGTGGCAGGCCAAGCTAAGCCCCGCCTCTTCCTTCCTCGTTTCGCTTGTGATTGGTCGACTCGATGTCGGCGCCTCTGGCATTACGAAAGTCAACTGGGGGGTGGAGTCAAGTAAGAAAGCTGCAGTCCAAAAAAATGCCTCATCTCGTTTGCGTAGTTGTGTAAGCTTGGTGCGATTGATCGGCGTTTCTCATCATTCGGCGTATTGCTGACGACCGATCGGTGTCGTTTGTTCCTCCAGCTAGCGTTAGCTAGCGGGCTAACAAACATGACTACTCGCACCGGGACTCTTGCTGCCACATGAGGGCACAGCGTAGCAGTCAGTGAAGCAACGGTGAGTTTTATTTTTCCTTGCTGACCTTTTAAAACAGCGTGATGAATGCAAGATTATTTTTCAAAGGGCTTTATTTATGGAAACAATTTGCATGGTACGTCAAATAACATACCGGGGCTGTAACAGAACTAATGAAGTAAAAAGGATTTGTAAAGTACATTGAGCAATACAAATTAATTAGTATTTTCATTGAATTAATGAATGTTATGACACCACAAATAAATGACGCTTAGATAACTAACATCAAATGTTAGTGAGATCACCTACGACCTTCAGATTGTCTGTACATTTCTTGTTCTTTCTGTTTTCAACTCAGGCGATTTAAATAGCGAGATAAATTCTCGCAAGAAGTGGGGAGTGTGTGGTACTTAACTCCAACTTGACGCATCTGTTGTTATTTTAATAGCAACATTTGTAGGAAAAACAATATGACGTTTAACAGAGATGAAAACTGCAAACAAAAGTGGATGGTCCAAAGTTTTGTCAGGGCTTCGACAGAAGGTAGAAAAATTCTAAAAAATCTAACTTCTTCGACTTTGTTATGAATGTAAAATTTGTAAGGTAAACGTGTGTGTGTGTGTGTGTGTGTGTGTGTGTGTGTGTGTGTGTGTGTGTAAATGTTATTAATTTTATTTTTTTTCAACCAAGAATTCCAATAAAATTTCGTCTTGGAGTAATTCTTTTTTTTTTTGTCTTGACAAATCTTCCAAACATGTTTGTTGTTAAACGTCTTGTCTTCTCCACGTGTTATCTGACAGCAATGACGTCAATACGACCTTAACCCATACGTGACTGCTGACATTGGTGGGAGATAACATCAGCATTATGGACCTGAACACCACCGCCGCCAGTATCTTTCCACATGGAGACGGAGACCCAATGGATCCCTCTGCTCCATCATCCAGAGTATCCATCGACAAGCTCCTCCCGGCTCTGCTGAAGTGCTTTGGCATCATCCTGTGCGGCTACGTAGCCGGCAGGGCCCACATCATCACATCCAGCCAGGCCAAAGGTTTAGGCAATTTTGTGAGCAAGTTTGCTCTGCCAGCGCTCCTCTTTAAGAACATGGTGCTACTGGACTTTGGGAACGTCATCTGGCCCTTCATCTGGAGCGTCCTCGTCGCCAAAGCATCCGTGTTTGCCATCGTTTGTTTCCTGACACTGCTTGTTTCCAATCCCGAGAGCCGCTACAGCAAAGCCGGGCTCTACTCGATATTTGCCACCCAAAGCAATGACTTTGCTCTGGGTTATCCAATTGGTATGTATGATGCTTTGCTTTTGAGTCAACAATGGCTCGGTTTCTAATGTTTGCCTCCATGTGTGTCCGCAGTGAAAGCTCTATACGAGAGCACGTATCCAGAATACCTCCAGTACATCTACTTGGTGGCCCCCGTGTCGCTAATGCTGCTCAATCCCATCGGCTTTGCCTTTTGTGAGGTCCAGAAATGGAAGGATCAGAGAGAGCACCAGCAGGGGAAAGTTTTTATCGTGGGGCAAGTGGTGCTTCACGTCTTGCAGAACCCGATTGTTTTCATGGTCGTCATTGGCATCGTGGCCCATTTTATCCTGCGCCAGAAGATTCCTTCCTTCATGGAGGACTTTGTGGATGGTTTGGCCAACTCCTTCGGGGGAACGGCTTTGTTCTACTTGGGTCTGTCCATGGTGGGCCAGCTGAAGAAATTAACCAGGTCCACGGTTGTGACGCTGATATTACTCTTGACTGCGAAATTGTAAGAAAAACAAAACAGTGAGATTTGTGGCTTTCAATTTTTGTGTCAGACTTTTCTTTGACCTCACTAACGGAGCACCGCTGCAATCCCTAGGTTGCTCATGCCTCTGATTTGTAAAGACATGGTGGATCTTCTCGACAGCACCGGCCCATCCAACCACTCGAGTCTCTCCAACTACGCCTTTCTTTACGGAGTTTTTCCCACGGCGCCCAGCGTCGCTATCTACGCTACATATTACAACGCGCAGCTGGAAGTGGTGAGTCTTGTAACTTTGGCAAGAGGTGAAATGAAGCCACATTTTTAAGGTTTTGACAAAAAGCTCCAACTCGCGCCTGTTCTGAAGAGGAGCAGATCCCGTGTTATGATTGTGTACAATGGTTCAACTGCCCAAAATTCAGTACATTTTTTTAAAATTATTTCTTTATTTTTTCAGTGCTTCATCAGGCTGACTGATTTTGAAAGATAATCTAATTAGGATTAAAAAAAAAAAAATCAGATTGCAACAATAATGCCAACAAATCTATAGCTCCATCACTTTGTATAAAATATGAAGTAAAAATGCAAAATGTAAACGTATGCTAAAAAAGCCTTTTTATATATATATATATATATATATATATATATATATATATATAAAATTTTAAATTCAATATTTCAGTCTTTGCCATGAGAAAATTGCGTTCTCCTACATTGGGATGTCAATTTCAATTTGAATTTGATGAATTGTTCAGCCCTAGTTTCTACGCTCCTCCAAGTCTCGGTGAAATGATTGACAGATCCGTGTCCGATTGAAATCAGCCGTTCAGTTTCTCGGTCCATTCAGGTCCTTGTTCGGGTTGGGCATCGAGTCTTCTCGAGAATCATTTGGAATCGGGACTAACATTCGAATTCAACTTGAATTTGAAAACTTCGGTTCCCTGTTTTAGTGCCGGGCGCAACCCGAAGAAGAACGTGCCGAGACCCACGAATAAGAAGTTCGCAAAGGCGCTGGTGTTCAGTCCGCGCGTGTTTGTTTCTCAAAGCGGTCAGGTTTATCATGTTTGACTGTTTTGTGTTGTCACGGTTAATCGTGTGTCGCTTCCCTCCAGATTATTTCCGGAATGGTCATCTGCACTTTGCTCTCGGCTCCAATCATGTTTACCTCCGCCTGGCTGCTCACCCTGCGCCGGATGGATCCTCGGCTTCTGATGAGCACGTTGCAAGATGTCAGCTTTGATATAAGCCTCGTCTGTTTCGTGGCACTGGTGAGTCGCGACAAGGCGCAGTGATGTCAGCATAATTTCTCTTTCACAACCCCCTCCCCGCACCCTCAATGAGACTTTGTGTTAAGATAAATTCTGATGCGACAGTGCATTGTCTGGGACTTGTTTCGGCGGATTCAAAGCACAACAGCGATTCATTTGCAGTTTTCTGACAAAAAAAAATGCATTTCCTCATTTGGTGTCGCCTTTAGCCCAGTTCTATGAAACTTCATTTCGAGTGAGTGTCTTGGCATGGCAAGGCTGTGGGTTCAGTTGAGTTGCACAAGAGTTGATCAAAGAGGTTTGAAGGCAATTTGTGAACTCCGCGTAAGGAAACTGGTACGACAAGGCAAATCTAGGAAGCAGCATTTCGTATCGATGTAACAACTAAACTTGGCATAAACTCACTGCAATTTGTAAAGATGTGTACCCCCCCTCCCCCCTCACAGCTGTGGACCATCGCAGTCATGTTTTGTAGTAAGAAGTTCAAGAGGCTGCCTCACATGTTCACCACCAACCTTTTTTTGGCACAGGTGAGTGCAGCTTACGCAAAAGCAGTTCAAGGTTCGAATCTATTTCTGGACGTTTGCCTATTAGGGTATCGTTCATGATCTGGCATGATTTGTCGTTTTAGTTCCTCACTTGTTCCGGGATGATCCTGTGGAAATTTGTGGTGAGGGGAGACAACTTTATCGTCCAGATCCTGTCTTTTACGCTGCTGTGCACGTCACTCTACTGCACTTACATTTGGCCGGGTACGTTGTGGAATACACATGGCGACGACATCGTAAATTAGGTGCTAATTCATCTGAACGCTTGCGTTTCTCGTTTTAGGCTTCATTGCACTCTCGCTTGTGCTGCTGAGGAGGTTTGACCATCTGACGGTTTCGTCTGGCATGATTGTCATTGCGGGCTGGGGGTGAGTCACGCATGTGTGGTCAATAATCTCCTTAAAAAAAAAACAAACTGTAATAGTGTCTGTGTTTTTTCTTGATGAACAGGATCCCTGCGGTCACAACTGCAGTGTTGCTGATCTGTGGGGAAAAACTGCCGGACACCTTAGATTCGTCGCTCTTTTACAGCAAGCCGCAGGTATGTGGTGAAAATCTATTTGTGTGTTTTGTACTATATTGCTTATTTTCTTATTATGCGTGTGTGCACTTTGACAGATCATCTGCAGCACAATCGTGCTGACCCTCAGTGTGCTGCTCTCAGGGAGTTCACTGGTCATTCTAAGTCGAGGAAGCTGGGCGCAAAAAGATCGAAGTCAGGGGGGAAATGCGTCCGTAGAAGACCTTGCGACCGAAACGGAACAAGATAACAACTCTTTGTTTGAACCAGAAGACAATTCAGCAGATCCCAGCACAGGTGCTGTGTAGAAGTTTCGCATACTACGTATGGCTGTAGCTATTCACCAATGGATGTAAAATTCATACAACTGTGCTTATTTAGCTCTTTAGATTGTGATTATTATTATACGCTGATACCTTGAGGTACAAGTGACTCAACTTATGAGCTCGCCTTATCAAATAGTGAATAATTGATTAAAAAAACAGGGATTGGCAACTTTTGTGTTTAAAACAACCACGTAGTCCGCTAACTTAAGTGGTAGCGTCAGTTAGCATACATGCTGAGACACTTTAATCAACAGATTTCCTACATGTGGTGCGGCAACATGAATACCGTCATATATATATATATA